ACTTTTCTCCTTTACTTTCATGAAGGAAATGGTGGAAACTCACTTCACTGAACACATCCATTAGTCTACGGGCGTAAATCCCTGGGGGGGACGGGGAATACAAAAATAACGTAGTGTGGTCTAAAAACTGAGTTATATAGAAAAATAAATATGGTGATGGAGATGTCTTCAAAACCCTACAGGCGGACAAATCTAAACTTGTTTTTCATACATTCATTCATTTCCTTTTCAGCTTTGTCCCTTTATTAACCTGGGGTCGCCACAGCGGAATGAACCGCCAACTTATCCAGCATATGTTTTACACAGTGAATGCCCTTCCAGCTGCAACCCATCTCTGGGAAGCATCCATACACACTCATTCACACTCATACACAACAATTTAGCCTACCCAATTCACCTGCACCACATGTCTTTGGACTGTGGTTGTTTTCATCTGTACAGATATTTGTGTGTTGCTGTAATTCCTGTGTGTATCAAGCAATTTGTGATCCACATAGACACATAACTAACGCACTCTGCACTGGACTTAAAAGAAGCTTTTAGTTGGTCAATGGCGCGGTATATTTCAGTTCCACAAAATAGTGACGCACATACAAAGCGCCTTAACACACCTCCTATATAGACCGGCACACCCTTGAGTCCACGAAGTGGAACAAATGGATTTGCTACTTAAATAACGTGTCACAGAAGGGGAAAATTAGGGTTGTGTTGCTCAGAAAACAGCAACAAATCGCGCCAAACACATCTTGCGCCTTGTTGTGTAGGACCCGCGTTTGTGATCAGGGGGCCCCGCCTTCTCATTCTTTCTCATAAAATATACAGGGGCCTAGTAATTCTGACTTCAACTATACAATGGAAGTCAATGGTTACACATTTTCAGCTTTTTTCATAATATCTTCCTGTGTGAAGAAAGACATTTGAGCAGATTTGGGATCAAAGTGAGTAAAGGGTGATTAACGCTTTAAGTAAATGTGATCTGCTGGCAGAATGAGAATACGCTGACTCAGGACTGATGAAGAAAGTACACTTAACAGTCTATTAGTCTATTATGCGGAAAGCGCAGGATGCTGACTTGTAAGGGAGACTCTGATTCATGGCATTGCAGGGAAGTCGATTACTACGTCTCATTTCTAGCAAATCATCTTGCAATAAATAGGGATGAATTTGGTGATACTTTAGGAGGTGTTCATAAGATTGTCATGAAACCTTTATAATCATGACACAGCAATAAACATGTGAATGATATTTTATGCATGCTTATAACAACTGTTATTAAGTGTCATTAACACTGGAAATTTATGGTAGCACTTTACTTAAAGGGTATTCATAAGACAGTTATGAAACATTTATAATCATGATATGAATCGTCATGTATGTCAAGGAAATTTTATGCACGCTTATAACTACTGTTATTAAGTGTCATTTGCTCAGTTACGACATTTAGTTATTGACAGTGAATATTAATTGTAACTCAACTTGAATGGGTGTTCATAAGTCTGTCATGAATCCTTTATAATCATGACAGGAAAATAATCAAGTGAATGAGATTGTATGCATGCTTATAACAACTGTTATTAAGTGGCATTCACTAAGTTATGACATTTTATTATTGACAGTGAAAATTCATTGTAACTCAACTTGAATAGGTGTTCATAAGACTGTCATGACCCCTTTATAATCATGATATGACATGTCATGAATATGAATTTTATGCATGGTTAATACAACTGTTATTAAGTGTCATTCACTCAGTTACGACATTTTATTACTGACACTAGAAATTTAAGGTAACACTTTACTTGAAAGGGAGTTCATAAGATATGTCATGTCATGAATATGAATGAGATTTTATGCATGCTTATAACAACTATCATTAAGTGCCATTTGTTCAGTTATGACATTTTATTTTTGACACTGGAAATTAACAAAACGATTTACTTGAAAATGTTCAAAGACTGCCATCAAACGTTTATAATGTTGACATAACAATAATCATGTGAGTTAGAGTTTATGCATGCTTATAACAACTGTTATTAAATGCAATTCTCTCAGTTACGACATTTTATTATTGACATTAGAAATTCATGGTAACACTTTACTTGAAGGGGTGTTCATAAGACTGTCATGAAACCTTTATAATCATGACATGACAATATTCATGTGAATGAGATTTATGCATGCTTATAGCAACTGTTATTAAGTGTCATTGATATATTATTATTGATACTGGAAAGTCATGGTAACACTTTACTTGAAGGGGTGTTCATAAGACTGTCATAAAAGCTTTATAAGCATGATATGAAACATTATGAATATAAATGAGATTTTATGCATGCTTATAACAACTGTTATTAAGTGCCATTGACATTTTATTATTGATACTGGAAATTTATGGTAACACTTAAAGGAGTTTTCATAAGACTGTCATGAAACCTTCATTATCATAAAATGTCAATAATCATGTGAATAAGGTTTTATGCATGCTTATAACAACTGTTATTAAGTGCCATTGACATTTTATTACTGACACTGGAAAATCATGGTAACACTTTACTTGAAATGGAGTTCATAAGACTGTCATGAAACATTTATTATCCTGACCTGACAATAATTACATGATTGAGATTTATGCATGCTTATAACAACTGTTATTAAGTGCCTTTGACATTTTGTTATTGATACTGGAAATTCATGGTAACACTTTACTTGAAGGGGTGTTCATAAGACTGTCATGAAACCTTTATAATCATGACACAACAATAATCATGTGAATAAGATTTTATGCATGCTTATAACAACTGTTATTAAGTGTCATTGACATTTTATTATTGATACTGGAAATTCATGGTAGCGCTTTACTTGAAGGAGTGTCATAAGACTGTCATGAAAGCTTTATAATCATGATATGAAACATTATGAATGTAAATGAGATTTTATGCATGCTTATAACAACTGTTATTAAGTGCCATTGACATTTTAATATTGATACTGGAAATGTATGGTAACACTTAAAGGAGTTTTCATAAGACTGTCATGAAACCTTTATTATCATGACATGACAATAATCATGTGAATAAGGTTTTATGCATGCTTATAACAACTGTTATTAAGTGCCATTGACATTTGTATTACTAACACTGGAAACTCATGGTAAACTCATGAAAGCTTTATAATCATGGTATGAAACATTATGAATGTAAATGAGATTTTATGCATGCTTATATCAACTATCATTCATTAAGTGTCATTCACTAAGTTATGACATGTTATTATTGACAGTGAAAATGCATTGTAACTACTTGAAAGGGTGTTCATAAGACTGTCATGAAACCTTTATAATCATATGACATGTCATGAATATGAATGAGATTTTCTGCATGATTATGATAATTGTCATTCGCTCGTTTATGACATTTTATTATTGACACTGGAAATTTATTGTGCCACTTATAAATTTACATGTGCTGGAAAAGTTGGCGGTTCATTCCACTGTGACGACCCCAGATTAAAAAACGGACTAAGCTTAAAAAATAAATAAATAAATTAATTAATGATGAAATTAATTAATTAATTATTAAATTAATTAATTTTGTGCTGTCTATAATTATGTTTTTTATATTAATAAGGTATGTGTTTTACATCGTTTTTATATTAAAATCGTTGTCTAATTCATTATTATTTGTATTCATTATTATTATTATTATTATTTCATGGTTGTTTATGATAATAAACACTCAAAAAATGCTGGGATGTCATAATCCAACACTGGGTTAAATACGAGCGAACTCAACTGCTGGGTTAAAAGGTGTAAATTAAATTCAACAGAAAATAAATTATTAAAGCAATGTTGAGTTAGTCCATATTTAACACAATATTAGGTTAAAACAACCCAGCATTTTTAGAGTTTATCATCATAAACAATAATAAAAAATAATAATCACAATTTTAATAATTTCTTGTAGAATCTACATGAGCTTACCGTAAAATCGCAAGCAAAAATACTTCAGTTACATTTACAGCATTTATTTTGCTCTATGTGTATTTACAGAGCAACACGGGGGCTGGTGGTTAGCACTGTCACAGCACAGCAAGAAGGTCGCTGGTTCAAGTCTCGGCTGGGCCAGTTTGCATGTTCTCCCCGTGTTGGTGTGGGTTTCCTCCAGATGCTGCGGTTTTTCCCCCACAGTCCAAACATGTGCTATAGGTGGACTGGGTAAACTAAATTAGCTGCAGTGTATGTGTGTGAATGAGTGTGTATGGGTGTTTCCCAGTACTGGGTTGCTGGGAAAATATGCTGGAATAAATGGCGGTTCATTCCACTGATAAATAAAGGGACTAAGCCGAAGGAAAATAAGTGAATCTGTGTATTTACAGTATTGTTTACTGTAAAATATATAGTAATTTTCAATGTTAAAAATATGTAAATGTTAAAATACTAGTCAAAATACAGTTCATATTAGTTAAATACTGTATAATGTACAACTTAACAGCGCATGCAATAGATATTTTAAGATGAACACAATGTAAACACGATATTATTACTTAAAACATTATGCTAATACTACACACCCAGTATTTTAATTACAAAAATAAAACTACATTACACATTATTATTCATTACAAGAGTATCATAACAGTAATTTACCGGCTGAAATGTCCACAAGTAACACTAAACGCTGTTTTTACTATAACGTAGCAACTATAGTACGATTGAAACAGGTTATTGTCATAAACGCCTGCACAAAATCATCAAAATAACGCTAAAAATAGCTCAATTTATTAAATCACATTACTATATTAATAACGAACTGCCGCATTCGCTCATTCAATCATTAATTCAGTGATAAATGAATATAAATGGCTGTTATTCTCTCACACACACACACACACACATTGAGTTGTGCCGCAGAAACACACGACAGCAGGTGGATGTTGATGCTGTGAGCGAGCGCCATCACACACACTCACACACACACACACTTATACACACAGACACTTACCTGCAAACCTTCAGATTTCGCAAGGAAAAGCCATAATTAAATGTTTCCTCTCCAAGCCGCGCGAAAAAAAAACGACGCTTCACGCGAATGAATCAATGCTGTGGCCGCGTCCCAAATCACAACAAGTCAGCTCGCTAGACAACGCTGAAGGCATTCAATGCATCATTCGGTTTCGCAGAACGTGTTTTTTTTCCAGCTCTGCGGTGTGCTTGGTGTGAATGTCAGGCGCATCTAGAGTGCGTTGTTCCTGTTATGACTATAGTGCTGTCTATGTAGGCAGGTTGCGGTGTTTTAAAGCACAACCTGCGTGTTACTGCGCACCGAGCGCCACTCACTGGCGTTCGCGAGGATTAAACACGACACACAGCTGTAGAATGCACAGAAATGAGGAGGATTTGGAGTTTGGGTATTGTTTATTTTAATATGTTATGCTTGTTTGTTTTTGATAAATAAAAGAAAGAAATTCTGGCTACTGTTCATTTTAATATTTTATTAAAAGAATTTAAAAAAAATATCAGGAAAAATGAAAGCAAGAACGACAGAAATAAAGAAGAGCAGAAAAAAATGACAGAAAAAAATGTCAGAATGACAGAAAAAAACTGCAAAACGAAATAAAGTCAGAAAGAACGATAGAAGAAATACACAGAGCGATAGAAAGAACAACAGAAACAAAAAAAGACAGACGGAAAAGACAAAAAAGAAAGTATGAAAGACACAGAAAGACAGAAAGAAATACATAAAGTGTGTTGTGTGTTCAGAGATGCTCTTCTGCAGACCTCGGTTCAGTTGTAACGAGTGCTTATTTGAGTTACGGTTGCCTTTCTATCAGCTGGAACCAGTCTGGCCATTCTCCTCTGACCGCATCAACAAGGCATTTGCGCCCACAGAACTGCCGCTTACTGGATAGTTCCTCTTTTTCTGACCATTGTCTGTAAACCCTCGAGATGGTTGTGGGTGAAAACCCTAGTAGATTAGCAGTTTCTGAAATACTCAGACCAGCCCTTTCTTCCTCATTCTGATGCTCGCTTTGAACTACACCAGATCGTCTTGCCCATGTCTACATGCCTAAATGCATCAAGTTGCTGCCATGTGATTGGCTGATTAGAAAATCGTGTTAACGAGGAGTTGGACAGGTGTACCTAATAAAGTGGCCGGTGAGTAAATGCAACATACTGTAAAATATTGCAAAAGAAGCTATATAAAAGTCTACTTTTGTAATATTTTGAGGTATGTATTATTACGGTGGCACAGTGGGTAGCATGATCGCCTCAAAGCAAGAAGAAGGTCACTGGTTCGAGTCTTTGCTGGGTCAGTTGGCATTTCTGTGTGGAGTTTGCATGTTCTCCCTGTGTTGGCGTGGGTTTTCCTTCGGGTGCTCCGGTTTCCCCCACAGTCCAAACACCGCGAAGTGAAGAGTGAGGGGTGTTGGGCGATCTCAAAGAGAAGAGCGGGGGGTGGGGAGGGGTGGTCAATCGAGCAAGTGCCTGCTGAGAGGGGCACCTCAGCCGATAACGGCAGAGAGGCAGAGGCTCTAACAACCGGCCACCCCCCTTGTGCATGGCTCTGCCTTAATATATATACATAATTATATAAATGAAATTTATTTAGTCTTTGCCATAATGGCAGAACACATTATTTAATAACTTTGTTAATTTAAGTTCCATGCACTTACTGTAGTATTCACATTAAATTATGCACAATCACATGTAACATTCTATCTCCAACAATATAGAGAGTACATCTAATTAATCAAAATTACTCAGTAGTTAAATGAATAGGGCGACGCTGTGGCGCAGTAGGTAGTGCTGTTGCCTCACAGCAAGAAGGTCGCTGGTTTGAGCCTCGGCTCAGTTGTCGTTTCTGTGTGGAGTTCGCATGTTCTCCCTGCGTTCGCATGGGTTTCATCCGGGTGCTCCGGTTTCCCCCACAAGTCCAAACACATGTGCTGTAGGTGAATTGAATAAGCTAAATTGGCTGTAGTGTATGAGTGTGGAAAAAGTGTGTATGGGTGTTTCCTAGTGTAGGGTTGTGGCTGGAAGGGCATCCACTGCGTAAAATGTGCTGGATAAGTTGGTTCATTCTGCTGTGGTGACCCCTGATTAATAAAGAGACTAAGCTGAAAAAGAAATTGAATGAATGAACTAGGCAAGTTTGGTTAATTAGGCAGGTTATTGGATATAACAGTGTTTGTTCTGTAAACAATTGGGAATTTTATTTATTTGTTCATTCATTCAAGTCAAAAAGAAATGAGACTTTCTTTAATATATATATATATATATATATATATATATATATATATATATATATATATATATATATATATATATTTATTTATATA